ATGATAAACTTTCATTAAGAATTTTCATACGGTCATGTTCAGTGAACTTGTTCTCTAACAAGCACCCACATATATGTATTTGCGTCCCACGCTAATGTTGATGGAATGCACCATTCTTATCCAATAAGCATACATACTATGTGCAAGTCTTTTCCGGATTTATTCGATATCCCATCTCGAAACATCCAACGACTTGGAACTGTATTTAAGATCACAACTTTCAAGATATGTTCCATGATCACCATCTCTATGTGCAACCATATCTTATAGTTATAAGTGATCTAGGGATTTTATCTTAAGTACAAATATATGATAAATGCTTACTCTTAAAATAAAGTAATGCCTTATTATTTAATATAATTCCAATAGATTGTATTTACAAGTAGAATACGTCCAATCTGATTGGAACGCCGGGTATACTACTCCAACACATTTTGGGGACTTCAGGTAGATGTTTTACTTCTATATAAAGGAGCTGAGGTAACTCCAAAACCCTAACTCCCATTCATTCTACATTCTTCTCTATTACTGCTGCTGCTCTCTCAGAGCAGCTCTCTTCATCTATTTCACACACTGACTTGAGCGTCGGAGGCTCTACGCCGGAAACCCCTCCGGCGTTGAGTTCTTGCAGGTGTTCTCATGGTTCAGCAACGGTTTGGAGGCTATCGAGTCAGATCTGAGCTCATTCCCATCGGTTCATTCCAGATCTGGACGGTTTTTCATTGGTTCACTCCGGATCTGAGAGGAGACCCATCACCCATGAGTTAGGGTAATGAATCCTCTTTCCTTGGCTAATGAAAGATGTGTACACGTGGGTAATATGTTTTGATGTGATTATGAGACGTGACAGAATAATTGTTTTATGTTCATACTATAACCATACCTTCTCTTCATTATTGATGTTGTGATATATGTGCATAGTGGTGAGCACGCTTTTCATCTTGTGCTCATCCCCACCTGCTCTTCACCGATAAAGATTAAGCAGGAGCAGGGTGACGAGAAGAGGCGAGTGGGTCGGTCATTTCATTATGCATTTTATGCTTCCGAAGAATAATAAGGCTTTTATGGACCTTTATGTGGAGACTTGTTTAAACCTTTTTCCAAAACATATGACTTGTTTGTTTTTGGAAAACTTGTGGAACCCTGATGTTGGGTATGATGGTTTGGTTTAAATATTCACGTTTGAGAATCTTGTCTCATGTTATGTTTTGGTTAATGAAAATCATTTGCAAAAACCGGGTAATGAATCCCCGTGGGCCCAGATAAGACTTGGGTTATGAAAAATGTTGTTTAACACCCATTGAATTTCGAAAATGATCTCGAAAATTTTATACTGATTTTCAGAAAGTCCGGAATTTCTGTAAAATCAAAGTGGGGTGTTACAGTTTGGTATCAGAGCCAGTCTGCGTTTCTGTAGACTGGTTTATATGTGAGTATGTGTTTAGACCTTGTAATATGACCACTCGTCTCTGTCACTCCGCGCTGCTTAAGGTATGTTTTCTTTAAGTATTAATGAAAATACTTGATATGTAAATGGTGCACATGTAGCAATGAAACTACTTCTTTTGAACTTGTGATTTGGGGCTTAGGATCTATCCACCTTGAATTTATCGAACTCTAGTGTTTAAAGGCGAACTCTAAACTTTTGTAATTAAGATTACTTTGTTTGTTTTGTGCTAAACCTTGTTCGGCTTATTCAATGTAGAATCATGAATACCCGCAACAACCGTAACCGTCAGCCATCCCCATCTTCTTCTCTGCCTCGTCGTCATCAGCAGGCCCCTCCGGCCATTGACCTCACTCAGCTCATAGTCTAGTTTCAGAGGATGAATGCACCAACTTTCGCGGGGACTGAGAACCCCACAGCGGTGTTGGAGTGGATCAAAGAACTGGATAAGATCTTCGTTGTGCTTCCCCTCCCTGACCGTCAGCGGGTATCCCTCGCGGCTTATCAGATGAAGGAGGATGCTTCCGACTGGTGGATTGACCACTGGGCTCGGAGGCCAGAGGCGGAGCTTCATGCACTCACTTGGGAGCAAATGAAGATGATGGTGCGTGGCAAGTTCCTTCCCCAGAGCTTTTGGGACAGGATGGAGCATGAGTTCTACCATTTGCAGCAGGGCAGCTCCACAGTGGATGAGTATATCCGCACTTTCACCGGAATGTGCCTTTTTGCGGGCGACGCGGTGAATACCGATGCCAAGAAGGCCCGCAAGTTTCTCAAGGGGCTCAATCAGAGGATCCGTGAACTGGTGGGGAGTGACGGACTGATGTCTTATGCAAATACCGTGAGTCGGGCTCAGGAGGTGAAGAGCTGTCTCATTCCGTTAGCTCCAGTTCCTTCATATTATCATGCCTCCCAGCCTACTCAGACCGTTTTCCAGCATGCTCAGCCCATCTCATCTATGCTGCCCGACTCTAGTTCGGGCAAGAGGAAGTCTGGCTTCTAGAACAAGAAGAAATGAAAGAAGGGGAATTTCGATAGGCGCGACAATCGATCCTCCACTGGACAAGCCTACCCGAAATGCGGTAGATCCCACAACGGTGAGTGCCTAGCTAGCCAGAGCACTTGTTTCAACTGTAACCGCCCGAGACGCTATGCCAATGTTTGCCGTGAGTCGAAGAGACAACAACAGCCGCCCTATCCTCATCAGCAGCAGCTTCCCCCACCGCCACCCCATCAGCAGCAGCCGCCCCCACTGTTCCAGCAGAAGACTGGGGGTCAGGCCTGTGTCTATACCATTACCCATGATGAGGCCGCCCGCAACACAGGTACTATGTCCGAAATGCTTTCTATCTCCAACGTGTCTGTCTTTGCATTATGTGATACCGGTGCTACCCATTCCTTTATTTCTTCTCGTTGCTTGGAGGCCTTATCTATTAACACTGTGAATTTTTGTGATCCTCTCGAGGTTAGTCTAGCCTCGGGAAAAATTATTATCTCTGATTCTGTGGTTCGCAATCTTCCTATTTGTATTGGTGGTCAAGTTCTGGAGGCCGACGTGTATGTAATTGAAATGCGAGACTTTGACGTGATTTTGGGCATGGACTGGCTCACCCATTACCGAGTTGATATCCGGTGCCAGGAGCGCGAAGTCACCCTCTATCCCGTTTCCGATCAGCCTATTGTGTTCTATAGGGTGAATTCGACGCTAGTCTATGTATCCATTTTCTTTTTTTGTTGTCCAAATCGCTAACTCCCATGTGAGATCTTCGGACAACCATAGCAAGAGAGGATTGTGCCTCGAGTCATCTCTTCTATGCAAGCTAGGAAGAGACTTTCCAAGGGTAGCTGTCAAGGCTATCTTGTTTCCTTGGTATCCGATGTTGTTGATGAGCGGGTACCCGATAGAGTATTCATCGTTTGCGAATACCTCGACGTTTCACCTGATGATTTGCCCGGAGGACCACCAGACCGCCAGGTGGAGTTCACCATTGACCAAATTCCAGGAGCCGGCCCCGTTTCTAAGGCCCCTTATCGTATGGCGCCGAAGGAGCTTCAAGAGCTCAAGGCCCAGATCCAGGAGTTGCTTAAACTCGGTTTTATTTGTCCGAGTGTCTTGCCGTGGGGTGCGCCCGTCCTATTCGTGAAGAAGAAAGACGGATCTATGCGCATATGCATTGACTACCGGGAGTTTAATGCCCTTACAGTCAAGAACAAGTACTCCCTTCCCCGTATTGAGGACCTTTTCGACCAGCTGAGGGGGGCCAGCGTCTTCTCAAAGATTGATTTGCGTTCTGGCTATCATCAGCTGAAGATCTGGGAGTCGGATATTTCTAAGACTGCTTTTCGTACACGCTATGGCCACTATGAGTTCGTTTTCATGGACCTTATGAATAGAGTCTTTCATCCTTTCCTGGACCAGTTCGTCATTGTGTTCATCGACGACATTCTGGTCTATTCCCGAGATATCGATCAGCTCAAGGAGCATTTGAGGATTGTGCTGGAGACTCTTCGCGGCGAGAAGTTGTATGCTAAGTTCTCGAAGTGCGAGTTCTGGCTGAACCGTGTGGCATTCCTTGGCCACATTGTGACAGCTCGAGGCATTGAGGTGGATCCCAGCAAGATTGAGGCGATAAGCAAATGGGATACGCCAAGAAGTGCCGCAGATGTTCGTAGTTTCCTGGGGTTAGCAGGATACTATAGAAGGTTTATCGAGGGCTTCTCAAAGATAGCCCAGCCACTGACCAACCTTACGATGAAAGCCGTGAGGTTTGATTGGAGTTCTCAGTGCGAGGAGAGTTTCCAGGAGTTGAAGAGGAGACTCACTACCGCGCCTGTCTTATCTATACCCGACCCTACTTTGGAGTTCACCATCTATAGTGATGCTTCGAAGATGGGTTTGGGATGTGTCCTTATGCAGCAGGGAAAAGTCGTAGCTTATGCTTCGAGGCAGCTGAAGCCTCACGAGCAGAACTACCCCACTCATGATCTCGAGTTAGCTGCAGTTTTCCACGCCTTGAAGATTTGGCGACACTACCTCTATGGAGGCAAGTGTGAGATCTTTACCGACCACAAGAGCCTAAAGTACATTTTCACTCAGAAGGAGCTGAACATGAGGCAGCGTAGATGGTTGGAGCTGGTCAAGGACTACGACTGCACCATTAGCTATCATCTTGGGAAAGCTAATGTGGTAGCCGATGCCCTTAGTCGAAGGAGTTATGGCCAGCTATCTTGCTTGTTTACCGGGCAAGATGTCCTTCTTCGGGAGTTTGAGCGATTGTAGCTAGAGGCAGTGGAGTCGACTTCAGCAGCCGGGGTCATGTTGGCCTCTTTGGTTGTGGGACCGACTCTTCGAGAGAGGATAGTCGCCAAGCAACCAAATGACCGTTTCTTATGTCGGTTGAGGGAGTTGTCAGCAGCCGGTAGAGTTGGTGGATTCGCAGTCGCATCTGATAGGGCCTAGGTCTTCGAGGGTAGACTTTGTGTTCCGAAGGTGTAGGAACTGCGGAGAGAGATTCTAAGAGAGGCCCATAGTGCTTCGTACACCATACATCTTGGTAGCACGAAGATGTATCAGGATTTGAGGAAGTCTTTCTGGTGGCGTGGCATGAAGAGGCAGATAACGAAGTTTGTGGATGGGTGCCTGGTGTGTCAGCAAGTGAAGGCTGAGCACCAGAAATCGAGAGGGTTGTTGCAGCCCCTTAAGGTTCCCCTGTGGAAATGGGAGTGCATCACCATGGATTTCTTGATTGGACTGCCGAGGTCGAGGGCCGGGCATGATTCGATTTGGGTGATAGTGGATCGCCTTACGAAGTCTGCCCATTTTCTGCCAGTCCGAACGACCATTAAGGCGAGTGATTACAACGAATTGTTCGTCAAGGACATTGTTAAGCTTCATGGAGTGCCCATGGAGATTGTTTCTGATCGAGATCCCAAGTTCACATGTAAGTTCTGGAGGACGTTGCACCGAGCCATGGGGACGAGGTTAGAGTTCAGTACAGCCTTTCACCCCGAGACAGATGGTCAGTCGGAGCGTACGATCCAGTACTTAGAGGATATTTTGAGGGTTGTGGTCTTGGACCGGAGCCTGACTTGGCAGTATGCCCTTCCGCTAGTTGTGCTGACCTACAACAACAGCTACCACTCTTCGATCAAGATGGCCCCGTACGAGGCTTTGTACGGACGTAAGGTCCGGACTCCTTCGTATTGGGATGAGGTTGGAGAGAGGAGGATTACGGGCCCAAATTTTGTGTAGAGTACTGCAGCGACAGTGGACGAGATTCGGAGGACTATCAGATTTGCCCAAGAGCATGTTTATGCCATGGGAGATCATGTCTTCTTGAAGGTTTCACCCATGAGAGGTGTGATTCGCTTTGGGAAGAAGGGGAAGCTTAGACCTTGCTATATCGGGCCGTTTGAGATCCTCGATCGAG